AAAGCTACAGCAGAGCGCAAGCCAAAAAAACAGGGCAGGATATACTTAGGGGTTATAGTAAGCTCTTATCTAATAAAACTGAAGAATAAAATGCTCTGGTTGGGGTTCATTAATGCTTTAAAAACTGGCATCGGAGATTTCCCAGATGGCTCAGTGGCAAAGAATCTGCCTGCCAATGCAGGAGCCTCAGGAGGCTCCTGGATAGAGAAGATCCCCTAGAGGAGGGCATGGCAACCCACTCCAGTATACTTGCTATGGATAATCCTATGGACAGGGGAGACTGGCGGGCTACAGTCCATGGGGTTGCAAAGAGGTGGACACGACTGAAGCGAATTGAGCACGTACAGGCACACAAGATTAAAATTAGTGCAATAAACACATTTTCTATGCTCTAGGAACATTTCTTTACAGCAATCTGTGCTAAACATTAGTGCTAGTTAATGGAGTATTTGGGGTGAGAAGATGTCAAAAGTCTGCTCTATTAGGAATCTTAAAATCTGGACATTTCAATTACTCTTTCCCCTTCTATCCTCACACACACTGATGAAATCAACATAAAAACACATTCATTGGGTCCAGAGATTAAATTTGGAGAACCAGAAAGTTGGAGCCGCAGGAAATGAGCAGTCTAACCCACAAAGGTGAGGAAGAGGATGGAAAGGTTTAGACAAGAGAAAGGTACAAAGGTTTTACAGACGACCATCTGGTTAGAGTTGAGCATTTTACATATAATTTCATGTGACTCAACACATAAACCAAACATTCTGAAGGGGACACATGGATTCTATTAATCATATGCAGACTAACTCCAGTTTTTCAATACACTGGTTTTATTGCTGTGCTAAGTGGCAGAACCCTGTTAGGAGGTAACATTTACTATATGCTTATTATTAGTAGTGTCTTACTAACAAAATCCAACCAGTCCATCCTAAAGGAGATCAGTCCTGAGTATTCATTGGAAGGACTGATGCTGAAGCTGAAACTCCAATGCTTTGACCACCTCATGCGAAGAGTTGACTCACTGGAAAAGACCCTGATGCTGGGAGGGATTGGGAGCAGGAGGAGAAGGGGACGACAGAGGATGAGATGGCTGGATGGCATCACCAACTCGATGGACATGAGTTTGAGTAAACTCCAGGAGTTGGTGATGGATAGGGAGGCCTGGTATGCTGTGATTCATGGGGTTGCAAAGAGTCGGACACGACTGAGCAACTGAACTGAACTTACCAAAGAACTATTACTAGATAATAAAGAGGATGAGAAAAACAAGGAGAGCAAAAACTAGTCCCAGTCTTTTCTTTTTCTTTAATTATTAATTATTTACTTTTGGCTGTGCTGGGTCTTCACTGCTGTATTGGGGGGGGGGGTACTTTCTCTAGTTGCAGTGAGCTGGGCCTACTCTAGTTGTGGTGCACAGGTTTCTCATTGTGGTGACTTCTCTTGTTGCAGAGCACAGGCTCATCCCAGACCAGGAATTGAATCTGTGTCCCCTGCACTGAAAAGTGAAAAGTGAATTCTTAACCAGTGGACCACCAGAGAAGCCCTAGTTCAAGTTCTGATAGTAAATTATCCTTTTAAAAAAGGAAGGAGGCTGTTCCGATCAAATTGGAAGTGGAAACTGATAACTGAACCAAGAATTTAGATGTAATGCAATCTTACGGGTTTTATGTCTTTTTAAAGCTCTGGCTATCAAACACTCAATTTACATGGGTTTCACAACATGACTACAACTTTACACTCCTCCTGGCCTACCAAGGGAAGACAAGGGAACCAAAGGGCAAGTAAAAAAGATCTACAGTCATCCTGCTGAAACCCGAACTAACTTAAATTTTCCTCCAAGAGTTTCCTGGGTGGCTCAGAGGTAAAGAATCCACCTGCAAAGCAGGAGCCACAGCAGATTCTGGTTTGATCCCGGGGTCAGGAAGATCCCCAGGAGGAGGGAATGGCAATCCACTCCAGTATTCTTGCCTGGAGAATCCCATGGACAGAGGATACTGGAGGGATACAGTCCATGGGGTCCCAAAGAGTCGAACATGACTGAAGCAACTTAGCACACACACAAGCAAAACTAACCAGATCATGACATGATGGGGAAGGAGAGAGATATCAAGAATATGGATGTTGCTCCAGCAATTCTCTCTGTTCCCTTCTTTCTGCCTGATCACTAGACCAGCACAGAAACACACTGATATTTCTCTCCTCTAACACCTTCCTGTGCCAGCTAGGATCCTACTTCTTTATAACCCTCAAATTCCTCTCCTCCTGTTCTCTCCCCAGCCCACTGCAACTTGGCTTTGGCCCCCACCACTCCACCTTAACCTATCTTCAGTGTGACCCATGTGGTCTCCTTGGCTAAACACAATGGCGGGTTCCTGGTCCTCATCTTAACTGCTCAGTAGCATCTGACACAGCTCCTCTGTCCCTCATCCTCTCTGATACACTGTCTCACCTGACTTCCACTGGCACTCTTTACCTCTTTTACTGGTTCCTTCCCAACCGTTTCACTTCCTAACATCTTGGCACCTCCAGATTCACTCCTGTCTACATTCACTTTCTCAGCAATTCCGTCCAGTCTCCTGGCTTCAAATACCATCGACACACCAATCCTTCCCTCTCAACGGTATATTTCTAGCCCCGCTCTTCTCCCAAATTCTAGAATCACAAGCGCCAACATTTCAATTCCGATTTCCATCAGGCACCTCACACTCAACACATCCAAAATGAGACCCTCATCTTCCCTCCCCTGCCTTCATCTCCTGTGGCTCTCTTCCTTTGCTTACTCCACTCCACCCACATCAGCTACCTGCTGTTCCTCACACGTCAGGGCTTCTTCCACCTCAGGGCCTTTGTTCTAGCTGTTCATCCTCTTCCCAAATGTTGTTCAGTCACTCAGTCGTGTCCGACTCCTTGCAACCCCGTGGACTGCAGCATGCCAGGTTTCCCTGTCCTTTACCATCTCCCAGAGTTTGCTCAAACTCATGTCCATTGAGTTGGTGATGCCCTCCAGATATCTCCCGAGATATCTCACCATAATCGCCACCCCTGGCACTCCACCCACCACTCTTTCTGCACTCAATTTTTATTTCCCATAGCATTGATTACTTTTCAACATAAGACATAACATAATCATGTTAATGTTTATTGCCTGCCCACGTTCACCAGAGACCTTTGCTTTATTGACTCATCTCTCCAGGGGCCTTAGCAGTACCTGGTACAGGAGGTCACAAAAAAAAACCTTTGTTAAATGAATGAATGGGCTCTGATGTTACAAATGTGAAGTGGTAAGCTCCAGATTCACACATATGTCAGAAGAGTAGTCTTGGTAAACCATCACTTCCCTTCTTCCATGAATACACCTCACATCCATTTGACGTTGGTTAGCACAGAATTCCTGGGACAGCCAAGAAGCTCTGTTAGTCCCCTGTTGCTGCTGCACTTTCTTTTTTAAAAAAAATCTGAAAACATGCCTCAAACCTAGTTATAAGATATTACAATTTTAATATTCCAACAGAATATTATGCACCTGTCAGATACAGTTATTCCTTAAGAGCATTCAAGCCAGCAAGATTTTCCCCCAGGAATACATCAAAGATGATTCTAACTATCTAGCTATTCTAAAGTAATCTTGTAGCGGCACACCTAGCCTGCACCCACACTCTCCTCATCCGCAAAAGGACGGGAGCTGTGTTCTCCGCAAGGCTAGCCTCCCAGCGTCTCCCCTTAAGCGTCAGCACCTTGTCCGTCATTCACTCCCCTTTACTCTACTGAGAGCTCTCTACGAGCCTCTTTCCTACCACCTTGTAACACCACTGAAGTTTACTGAACCTTTTTTTTTTTTTAATCATTCCTCAACCCTGAAATCTCTGTGCCATAGTCCTTGGAACTGTGAGGGTGCTAGTCTGACTGGGGTAGATCAAAGAGTGACAGCCCAATGCAATTCCTGAGGCAGAGTGAAACAAGGACACCCGCCCCCCTCCACTCTGAAAAGGACAAGTCATAGAATGTGGCAATAATGATCACTTCCTGCTGTCTCTTCCTCTGGTCCCCATGAAACCCATCTCCCTGGGCTCTTACCAGATCTCTGACTGTTCCTTCTCTGTCTAGCATCTCTCTCTCTCTCTCAACATGATGGTGGTTCCTGACGTTCCATCCTTAGCTCTCTGCCCATCCTTCATGTTCTGCTGAGAACATTTCATCCCCTATCCCCTGGAGAAGGGAATGGGAACCCACTCCAGTATTCTTGCCTGGAGAATCCCATGGACAGAGAAGCCTGATGAGCTACAGTCCATGGGGTGGAAAAGAGTTGGACACGACTCAGTGACTCACACACACACACAACCTCATTTTAACTCCTACTATGTTTAACTCCACATTTCTAACTCCACTCTTTTGCTCTGAGCTCATGACCCAAAAATACAACATTTCCCCACTATTGGCACTAGTCTGTCAAATTCAGCAACTCCAAAACTCAACAACGCCAATTCCCAAATCTTGTTCCTTCTCCCGTATGCCCTATCTCAGGCAATACCACCAACTGTACAACTTAAGCAAGAAATCTTCGAGTCATCTTCCTTTACTCTCCCTGATAAAGTCTCTTCTATCAACCCCAACTATTTCATGCTGATCGCTATTGGGTTAATTCAGATCCATATCTTTTGCCTAAACCATTGCTTCTCAAGGGAGGTGCTGCTGGCTTAACAGACTGAAGAATTGTTTTATGCACAATCATCTCACTTAGAGCAGAAAACCTAACAGCCACCTTTCATGAACTGGGGAGTCCACTCCAGCACCAGGCTTCAAGTACTGAACAGGGATCCAGGCTTCCATTTAGTGCCCTTTATTGTGTAGAGATGGCCTGGAGAAGGGAATGGTTACCCACTCCAGTATATTCTTGCCGAGAGAATCCCATGGACAGAGGAGCCTGGTGGGCTACAGTCCATGGGGTTGCAAAGAGTCGCGCAAGACTGAGTGACTAACTTTCACTTTCTTTCACTTTATAGGGACCAAATCTCCACCGACCACTGCCTGCTTATGGATCCAGAACCTAGGAGGCCTATGGCCTCTATCTGACCTACTATTCCATTTTTGGTCCATGAAGATAAGATGCAGTTTCCCTCTAGGCCTGGCAATGTCTTCCTTGTTTTTCTTTTCTTTTTTTTAAATCTACACTCCTCCTGGGCTTGGAACAGAGTTGATAGAGGCCCAATATCCCTTAACGTCCTTACCAACAACTTCAAAAAAATGCTAAAACTTGAAAGTTTATTTTTAAAGTTTGCTACAAGTTCATCTAATGATAAAATAAACCCAAAAGAGACATGAGGCTACTTATAGTTATCATTTACCTTCCTCAGAATGAATATTTATATGATTCTTTAAGAAGTATGAATGCATAGTATTGTAGGTTAACATCCCAGACTCACTGTCCATATAATACAATACATGGAATAATCTTTTAGAAAGCCCTCAAAACCTGAATTGTAAAATAAATACAGCCCCAAAGGTTTCAAATAAGGATTGTGATCTGCATAGCAAAGCATAAAGTCACCACACCATCTCTCTTAAAGTTGACTTTTCTAAAGAGAAATTTAAAATTACTTTAAACATAAAAATTTTCAATGAATATTTTAGAATCACTCATATATATAGTTAGTGGTAAAGAATCTGCCTGCCTGCCAATGCAGGAGATGCAAGAGACCCAGGTTCGATCCCTGGTTCAGGAAGATCCCCTGGAGAAGGCAACCCACTCCAGTATTCTTGCCTGGAAAAAATCCCATGGACAGAGAGCCTCACGGGCTACAGTCCATGGGGGTTGCAAAGAGTCAGACACAACTGAGCACTTGTCAGTGACAGTCAGCATATATATATATATATATATAGTTAACTTTAGAAAAGAAGGCATGACAACTCATTTTATAAATTTATTTATTTTTAATTGAAGGATAATTGCTTTATAACATTGTGTTGTTTCTGCCATATATCAACATGAATCAGCCATAGGTATACATATGTCCCCTCCCTCGTGAACTTCCCTCCCACCTCCCACCCCATCCTAACCCTCTAGGTTGGCCCAGAACCCTGGTTTGAGTTCCCTGAATCATACAGTAAATTCCCACTGGCAATCTATTTTACGTATGGTAACGTATATGTTTCCTTGCTACTCTCTCCATTCATCCCACCCTCTCTTCCCCCCCGACCCCCACACCGTGTCCACATGTCTGTTCTGTGTGTCCGTTGCTGCACTGCAAATAGGTTCACTATCTTTTTAAAGGTTAAGTTCAGTCCTACCAAGAAATAAGAATATAGAAAATAACTTCTCGAAATTCCTTCCAGTCCTAAAATGCTTTGTTGAGACAGAGCTCTTGGGATTATAACATATAGCGTGTACAGTAGGATCACCTTCCCTTTTCCAGAGGCCCAGCCAGTTCCACATAATATGTGCTTAGGCCCTTATCACAACATGGATACACACAATCTCAAAAAGAAAACCACAAGCATAGCACTCCCCTAGTATTTCTACTGCTCTAAACACTTACAGTTCACAACCAAGATTAAGGGCTGATGTTGCTGCTGCTGCTGTATAGGGAAAGGGAAATAAATGATTTTACTTTATAAGTTTATATCTATGTCCATCAGGAGCTAAAATTTTAAACAGATGTCTAATGGGAAACCAAATATGGAAAATGATGCAGTTATCTATTAAAGCAACGAGACACAGCAAATAAGATATGCAGACAGGGAACATAAGCCTATAAAACTTTAAAGGATGTTTTTCCAAAAGAAAGAATATCTATGTTCTCATCTATTTGAGCTCCAAAGATTCTTCATATCCTTGCATAGATCTTTTCTTTTTTAAATGGCACACTACTTTGAAAAACAGTCTGGCAGATCCTCAAAAGGTTAAACCCAGAGTTACTATATAATACAGCAATTCCATTCCTGGGTATAGAATTTCTTTTTCTCACAAGAGAAATGAAAACAATGTCCCTCAAAAACTTATACACAAATGTACAAGTTTTGTTATGTACAGAAACTTGTATACAAATAATATAGCAATATCATTCACAAACAGCCCCAAAGTGAAAACAACCCAAATGTCCATCAACTGATGAAAGGATAAATAAAATGTGGTATATCCATACAAAGGGACAAAAAGAAATTAAGTACTGACACATGCTACAACAAGCATGAACCTTGAAAACATGGTGCTAAATAAAAGAAACTGGGCACAAAAGGCTACATATTTTATGCCATGTAGAAGAAATGTTCAGAATAGGCAAATTTAGATAGACACAGAAAGTAGATTAGTGGTTGCCTAGGATTTGCCTGGGGTTTGGAGGAAAATGAGTGACTGCTAATGAGTGCAGGGTTATTTTTAGAGTCATGAAAATGTTCTAAAATTAATTGCAGTGATGGTTACAAATCTGTGAACATACTAAACAAATCTGTGAATATACTAAACACCACTGAATTATGTGCTTTAAATGGATGAACTGTATAGTATGAAAATTATTTTAAGAATTGGCAAACATAATAAGCCATACAAGTAAAGTAAAAAGTCAACTGGGGTAGAAAACTAGAAATTCTATTAATTCCCAACTCTAACAAAATGCTTCTGCTCCAATGACAGTAGACAGATGAGGTCCTAGAAAATCTGAGAACAGTGACCACAATAAAGAGCCCAGGGGTCCTGAGGGGAAAGGTAGAAAGCAATGGATATTCAAACACAGACATAGATGTCCAAATTATAAAGACATACTAGAAGACCTAGGCTTCCCTGAAAGCTGAGTTGGTGAAGAATCTGCCTGCAATGCAGGAGATCCTGGTTCGATTCCTGGGTTGGGAAGCCACTGGAGAAGGGATAGGCTACCCATTCCAGTATTCTTGGTCTTCCCGTGTGGCTCAGCTGGTAAAGAATCTGCCCACAATGCAGAAGACTTGGGTTCGACCCCTGGGTTGGGAAGAGCCCCTGGAGAAGGGAAAGGCTACCCATTCCAGTATTCTGGCCTGGAGAATTATGGACTGTATAGTCCATGGGGTTGCAAAGAGTCACATATGACTGAGTGACTTTCACTTTCAAGAAGACCTCAGAGTCAGCTTCATTTAAGAAAGTCTTATGTGCATAAGATATATATGGTCATGAAAAATAACAGGAATTTTTTTAACTAATAGAAGTAGGAAAAATATGCAAAGATGCAAAATATAAAAACTACCCTGAAAATTTGAAATATTGCTCCTCCAAAGAGCTGGAGACAAATGGAAACCAGGGGACATGTGTATACCAATGGCTGATTCATGTTGATGTATGACAGAAACCAATACAATATTGTAAAGCTATTATCCTTCAATTAAAACTAAATTGTTTCTAAAAACCACAATATTGACAGTGATCATTTCTATGTGGGAGAATATTTTTCCTCCTCCTCAGTTACAATTTACTATATAATCAAAAATAAAAGCCCCACAAAAATTTATCATACTTCTAAATGCTCGTTTTAACTGGTGTTATATGGAAACTAGAATAAGAATCCCAAAGATTTAAATTAACATGTCAGAAAATAAACAAACAGTTCGTGATTTTCAACAGGGCTGTTCTTTGCCCTTCTATTGTTCACTGTTGTAAAGCTCCATTAACAGAAAACAGGATGAAAGGAAGGGGGGAAAAGGCTTAAATGCAAATTTCTAAAAATTATATTCTCTTGAGAGAAAGCCATGCCAAACTATCATTAAATTGGGATCTGGAAATATTTTATCTATAATCACATTTATCCCTAATTAGCAAGGGTCATTATATATTTCCAGCTCTTAACACAGACTGTTCTTTTAGTACCCTGGCAAATGCCATCGCTCAGACTGTCCAACAGTACTGTAAAAATACTCAGCTATGTGGGACTATCTCATTTTCATTTGTACGTGAAGATGATCTCATTCACTTGAGAGTGTCAAGAAAGAAAAGGAAAAGTCTTCAGAAAAAAGACATTTAAAAAGCTATCATCACAGTCACTTTTTTTTGTTTTAAAATTCCATTAAATGTTATTTCCTGAAGATTCCTCCCCCTCTACCACCCACTATCTATACAATAGTCAGCTGAAGCTCCAATACTTTGGCCACCTGATGCAAAGACCCAATTCACTGGGAAAAAATGCTGATTCTTGGAAAGAATGGAAGCAAAAGGAGAAGGGGCGGCAGAGGATGAGATGGTTAGGTAGCATCACTGATTCAAAGGACATGAGTTTGAGCAAACTCTGGGAGATTGTGAAGGACAGTGAAGTCTGGTGTGCTGCAGTCTGTGGGATTGCAGAGTCAGACACGACTTAGTGACTGAATGACGACAAATCTCAAATGATACAGACTGATGGCCACGAAGAGCATCTTCCTGAAAAGTCCAGCAGGCGTCCCATGCAGGCCTCTGGACAAGGACAGGTCATTTCCCCAGAGCTGGGGGTGCCAGATCTTCAAACTTATGACTAACAAGTGACCAAGGTGCTGAGGAGCTGGTCCCTGCTCTAAATCTAACTGCCCAGGCCCCCAGCTCACTGGTCAAACCAGCACGCTGCCCAAGGAGTGCTCACCCTCAAGGCCAAGACTGGCGACAGGAAGCCATGCTGATCTTTCCATTTGTCAGCAGTTATCCAAAAGACACAATTTACTGGCTTAATCAATGGATACAATTTATTTTAGTCTGCTCTTTGCTAAAATAAAATGCAAACAAAAACTGCAAACACTTGTTTTTAACAGGCCCAACTGCCACCGAAGTTACTTGTCTGAGGATCAGCAATAGTGAATAGTATTCTATCTCTGCTGCTGCTACTGATGCTAAATCGCTTCAGTCATGTCCAAATCTGTGCGACCCCAGTCTCTAGTACCAGTCAAAGGAAATAAGTACTCGAATCTTTTTTTTATTACTATAACAGAGTATCAGTGTCCTCCTAAATTCATTTTAATATTGGTTTGTTAGACTGTCAAACTTCCAGAAAGATCTGAAGCACAAAAATAACTATATTGTTATGGCATACTCTGTTTTATTGTGCTTCACAGATGCTTTTTAAGAAAAAAAAAAACAAAAATTAAGAGGTTTGTGGCAATCTCACAGTGAACAAGTTTATTGGTACCGTTTTTCCAGCAGCATTTGCTCACTTCATGTGTCTCACATTTTGGTAATTTCCCACAAGATTTCAAACTTTCTCATTATCATCATATTTGTTATGGTGATCTTTGATGTTATTGTGAAAAGACTGACTCCCTGAAAACTCAGATGATGGTGAGGCCTTCTCTGGTAGCTCAGATTGTATAGAATCTGTGTACAATGTGGGAGACCTGGGTTCGATCCCTAGGTTGGGAAGATCCCTTGGAGGAGGGCATGGCAACCCACTCCAGTATTCTTGCCTGGAGAATCCCCATGGACAGAGGAGCCTGGCAGGCTGCAGTTCATGGGATCACAAAGAGTCAGACATGACTGAGTGACTAGGCACACATTTAGTATCTTAGCAATAGTATTTTAAAATTATGTATTTTTAGGCATAATGCTCTTGTACACTTAACAGACTATAGTGTAATATAAACATATCTCGTATATGCACTAAGAAACCAAAAAATTCATGTTATTATAA